GTGTGTGTGTGTGTGTGTGTGTGTGTGTGTGTGTGTGTGTGTGTGTGTGTGTGTGTGTGTCAGGAGGAGAAGGACCAGCAGTGGAAACAAGCCATGGATTACCTGAGTGCTGTGACTGAGCTGAACTACATGACTCAGATCGTCATCATGCTGTATGAAGACAACGATAAGGTCAGCCTCCTGAGTGCTGCACCACTCAGCGCTCCTGCAGGGTTCTCGGTTCCTTCATGGGCACTCTGTTGTGTGTTTGTGTGCATGTGGTGCGAAGGACCCCACCTCAGAGGAGCGTTTCCACGTAGAGCTTCACTTCAGTCCAGGAGTCAAAGGGTGTGAAGATGAAGAGAACGTGCCTCTCGGCTTCGGCTTCCGCCCTGCCTCATCAGAGGTGGGTGAACCTGTTTCAGTTTTATGTTGCAGTAAATATTATTTTTGGTAGTTATTCTCTATAAATTTTATGCTGTGCCTTATTGTATACAGTTACCTCAAAGTTGACTCAAAAATTTTATAATCATTAAGTTAAAGTTTTAAGAGAATATGAACAACACTCACTGTTATAAACAGTTCTGTGCGCGATGCTATCACTTAGGATCATCCACTGTGTTCAGATCTGTTACTGGAAGGAATAAAGTGCTCGAAAACCATGAAGGGAAGTTCTTTTATTTTAAGAATTCCCTTCATATAACTTATTATTAGTGCAGTGGATTTATTTTATCTAAAATAAATTCAACCTGGAAAGACTCAGACGAAGACAAAGTGAAATTAGACTGATTTATTGACATGATTGAACAGCTAAGATTGATACAAAGGACAGGTTTGGCGCTCAGACCCCAGCCGAGGATGAGAGGCAGAAAGCTCAGATGAGCTATGTAGGTCCTCCATAACCACTTTCAACAACAAAACAAAACCTTTTTTACAGGTAAAAAAACATTAATTGGTTCATTTCGTTGTAATACTGTGAAATAAAAACTCAGCATTCCTTTTTTAAAGAGTAACTAAACCCAAAAGCTATTTTTTTGGCAGATAAACTGTCTAAGTTGGACCTTAAGGGTATTATTATATGTCTGTGCAAATTTTGACTTTTTCAAGCAAATTTAGTTTGTCTTGGTGCTGTCCTATGGGTTGAACGGTGGCTACTGAAAGTTAACTTTCCTGTTTGTTAAAACAATGCATGCTTATGTTGCTTACTACATGCTTACATTACAGTCCCCGTGTTCAGGTATAAAAGCCCCTGCAGCGAGTCAGGGGTTGGAACAGCGAGCCCTTCAATGAAAGTTGTTTAACTCTTTGAACAGGAGCAGAAGGGAGCCTAGGCTGTAGCAAAGAGCCTCGTGTCCTGAATGATCCTGGAACCAGAACACGTGTCAGACCCAGACTGAGCTGTCTCCTGAATTTTAAATGAAACGTTGAATTGAACAGAAATGACCAAAATATTCTTTCTCTTCTGTTTTGGACCAAAGTTATATTTTAACAGTTTGTTGTCTGAACTTTATGTTAGTTTAAAACTAAATATGAGTTTGCATGCATGTGATGAAACTTTACGTTTTACAAAATACAAAAATTCAGTTATTCCTGGCTGTGCAGCGTCACTAACACTATCATGATCAAATAGATACCATTCGACCAAATATTTCTCCTCCCAAAACAGAAACATGAAGCTAAAATTGGGAAATCAATATTGGACATTAACATCATCCCAGTTTTGCTTATTGGACCAATGCGATATTCTAAAAAAGTGTTTGATACCGATGTTAATGCAGATATATCGTTCATCCCTATTCATAAGTTTTAGTTTGATCTTGTTAAGTTTATTTCAGTTAATTGCAGGGATGGGATTTGTCAAAGTATTTTTTTTTCTTCAGAATGAAGACAAGAAGCCCAATCAGGGAAGTTTGGAGGACCTTTCCCAGGACCAGACAGACGACGCCCTTTATGTCTCCGAGCCTTTGAACTTCCAGAGAAAGTTCCCTATGATCCGCAACCGGAAGGCGGGCTCCATGGAGGTACCGCCCTGTATTTTGACGTTAAAATGTTTCAGTTTTAAAGTCTAAATGTAAATGTACTTTGTGTTATCATGAATGCATGTTCTCATACAAGGATGAGATTTGTGCTCTGCATTTGACCCATCACATTTGAGATGCACTCAAGTGGAGCAGCGGGCGGCTACTTAGGCCCCTAGGGAGAAGCTGGGGATTAGGTGTCTTGCTCAAGGACACCACAACATGTGGATATGGTGGGGAATCAAACCTGTGACTCACTGGTCTCAAGTCGCCTGCCCTATCACTGCTCCACAGCCGCCCCCACACGAATGAAGGATTATGGCAGCATCTCTTTGTTTTATCTAATATTGAAAGTGTGTTTTTTAAATTATTAAATTAACCGTCTTGTTTTCATTCATTCTTCATGCTCCTCAGGTCCTCTCCGAGTCCTCCCCCAATCATTCCACCAAAAGCTGCATCCACCATCGACTCTTCCATTCTACGTCACGCCAGTCTCCTGAGATCAAACCGAGTGGTTTAGGTGAGCGTCTCCCGCTCTTTGTTTGTTGTGTTTATTTGTTTCTTGTGTTTCTGCCAACACACCCAGTGTCATCGCTGATACTGCTCCTCATCAAAAGTCTTCTGGTGTTTGGTTTTTGTTTTACCGCCCTTCAACTTTTCCATATCTCTTTCAACCCCTCCCTTGTTTCTTCTCGTGTGCTGATCTTTCCCTCCCCTTCCTTCCATCACCACGCCCCCCTCCCCCTCCTCGTTTCAATGTTGGCATAGCTTCCAGCTCAGCTTAGCTTGGCAGGAGCTGAACAGGATCAGACTGTAAACTATGCAGGCGAGAGGTCAGTGGGGAGCGGTGGTTTTCACAGCCAACAGCAGGACACTCATAAATTCTATGTGGTGATCGTATTAATACAGAGCAAGCATGTTGTACGTTTGTTTATCTTTATTAATAGTCCAAACACAAGAAGTGAAAGCTACAGGCTTAAATCATTAAGTTCTCTGCTAATAAGGAATTGGAAATATATTTAACAAAAATTATGATAATATGTCCCAGTTCAATTCAGAATTAAAAGTTTAAATATTATTATTATTTATTATTATATAATACCCAGTCGGTCGAGGCAGATGGCCGCCTGTCCTGAGCCTGGTTCTGCTGGAGGTTTCTTCCTGATTAGC